CCTTGGTGGGGCTGACTCCTGCCAACTTGTAGGGGTGGGCATGGAACACAGTGAGGTACGTGCAATCCACCTTGTCCTCCCCCAGGGGCTCACCCACAACCACTGCTTTGACAGCATTTTCCAATACTGCTAGCTAGAAAGAAGGGATTGTAGGAGGGAGTTCTGCTCTTGTGTGGGAGTTTGCTCCTGTGTGGGAATGGCCGAGGGAGCTGCCCTTCCCAGTGTGGTGCTACCATCAGGAAAACCCTCCTCATTTGCTGGGAAGGGGCTGGGGAGGGGCAGGAGCCATGTGAGGAAGCCTGGATGTGCAAAGCCCTTCTCCTGGCTCTGATAAATGTGATGAGAATGTGATGCTGAGGTATTAAGCATGAGATCAGCTCTGCAGAGACAGCCACTGGCACGTGGCTGGGGCATTTGCAGGGCCCTTGGCTGCAGCAGGTTATCATTCCTGCCTGTAGCACTGAGGGGGTGGCAGTGAGCACAGGCTGTGGCTGGCATGGTAAACACCAGTAGCACGCTGCTGCTGCTGCTGCTGCTGCTGGAAAAAGACCCTGCCCAGAGAGGGCTTGAACGCTGGAGTAACGATGGAGGTGGGAACATCCTTACTAATTACAGCAAGAGCGGGAAAGCAGAATGGGCAGATTCCATCTCCATATTTGTGCTGCTCAATCCAGTATTTCCCTCACTGCCCAGAGTCCTTCCTGTTCCCTTAACATCTTGACTGGAAGGAAAAGCATATTAAAACAAGGTCATGGCTGCAATGACTATTGTTGTAAAACAACAAAGGGCAGGGTACATGCTGCTGACCCAGAAGGCAGCACTGTGGTGTTCCCAGAACAGATGTGGGGCAGGGGAACAGGAGTGACCATCCGAGCAGATCTGGAGGGGCCAGCAGGGAGGCACTGCTTGGGCTCACACCCAGACTGGTACTGCAGGCTGAGATGAGAACAGGATCCTGATACAGCGTAAGACACAGTCATGAGGAATCTCTGCATATGAGATGTGGGTATATGGGGGGAGGAAGGACATGAAGGAGCTCAGCTCATAACTCTTCACTCAAATTGTGAGGGAGAGTCTGTTCAGCTCTGCATCCTGCCCTGGAAACAGCTGAGGGACTGTGCACTGGTAATGGACATTTTTAGCAACATGAAAATATGAATAATGAGCAAAATTTGTTTTAGTATTGATTTCATTAGAGAGCTTTAGTGCTGATTTAATAAAAGAGACTGTTTGTGCTGTATGCTCAGCTGCTGGAATTAGTAATTTGGTCAGAAGGGAGAATCTTGAAGGCATTCCTACCCAACCTGGAAAGTGAATCTGAGCAGCTGCTGGGTGGCAGCTCAATGTGCTTCAGGCAATTGCTTCCCAAAAAAAGGTGAAAATTATGACAATCACATAATAGCTGTCAGGAAATGCCCACTGAGGGCTGCATAATTCCACATGGAGATGTGCGGGATGATCTCATGTGGGGCTGGCATAAAAGACTGATTTTACCCCATGCACAGTAGTAAGACCTAGATGAAGGAAAGTGGTCTGAACCCTTTAGGACCACCCTGAGCTATATCGCTGTGGAAGACAAACTGCTCTGTCTAATGCACATCACAGGGGGGGAATCTTGCTGCCAGAGACAGCTGACTCTTCTCTGCTGGGCAGCTTTCCAGCTGCTCTTCCCCAAGCCTGGAGCATTCCGTGGGGTTGTTGTGACCCGAGGGCAGGACCCAGCTCTTTGCCTTGTTGATTCTCCACCCACTGGCCTCAGCCCATCTATCCAGCCTGTCCAGGTCCCTCTGAAGAGCCTTCCTGTTCTCCGGCAGATCCACATCCCACCCAGCCTGGTGTCATTAACAACTAACTGAGGGTGCACTTGACTCCCTTGCCCAGACCATTGACAGAGACATTAAACAGAACTGCTATCACTATGTAAAGCAATGTATCATTAATAACTAAGGCACATTTTTGCTTGACCAAGTCTAGCCGATATCCTATTTCAAGTTCATGAGATGTGCATCCCCAGAAGCCTTTATTAAGGGGAGAACACTCACTATACCAGCATTTTCCATTTCCTGGTACTAACCAGCTCATTGCTGGTCTAGATCTGGGGAAAATTGGTTTAATATGGAAGAGAGTATTGGAATTTTTTTGACTGTTCTCTTATGGTTTTTTGTTGTCAGTGTTGCTATGGAAACAGCCCCTCCTTACTCTAAATCCTATGATGGTACCATTTCCTACTGAGCAGATTCTTTTACCATCTCAGTCACATCGTGTCATTCTCAGTTCCTCCAGTGATTGCTGCCCCTGCACCGCCTTGTGTTTTCACATTTCTTCAGAAAGAAGAACAACAGGGAGTTAAAACTGTGACATTTCCCCAAAACCTCTTGTCCTTCACAGCAATGGGGCAACAGGCCAAGCAGAGGTCTCAGACTGAGCACATGGTGCTCCAAACAGGGACATGTCAGTGCTGTGTGAGGCCCCACCACAGCACCAGGGGCTGTTCTGCTCCTCACCCCACCCTACCAGCAAGGGACTGGGACAGGGGAAAACAGGGACTTTGGGCTTTGGCCCAGTGGTCACCAGGATCCAGATTCTGCTTCATTCAATGTTTGTAAAACATTTGGGCAAACAAATCTGGTTTTTTTTAACTCTCCCATGCCTCTTCCTATCACTATTAAACTCAAATTAAGATCTACCAAACCTGTTGGCCCCAGACCTATGGATAGGTCCTATGGTAAACGAAAGAAGAGGAAGAAACAGCACTTTGAACGTATGCTTAAGGTATGCAGATCCTCAATAGACAGGTCAGATTTATTCATTTTGGCAAATGGTTATGCTGTGGGTTTTAGGAAAGTGTTTTCTTTGGGATGTGAGGCTCGGTCAGCAGTGCATGCAATATACACGCTCATTCATTTTGATCAAACGCTAGAGAAGACAGAAGGAGTGCTTGGACTAAATTGTATAAATCTTGTTTCACTTCCCTGCAAATACTGGCAATCTCTTTGTCAAGCTTCTGAAAAAAACAGAGCATCAATGTTTGACAACAGTTCTGATTGCTGAATTAATGCTTGTAATTATATTATCAGTTTATCACCATTTATTATATTAAAAACTCTCCATTATTCGAGACACCTGCGCATATTATTTTTGGAGATACCTCAGACTTGTTAAAGTTTTCTTAAGTATCTAACAGTAAGTGTAGGTTTTCCTTCACATTTTTGTTGTTTCTACCTCACAGCTGATGATTGATGTTCTTATTTATCATCATATTCAAGTTAGAGTTTGGGCTGATGAATGTTGCTGTTTGTGGTTTGCCTCCCACTCACAATTCTCAGCCTGATCTTAACGTCAGTAATCCGGAACCTGGGACTCCTCTTTCACACCCAGCTCTGTTTACCAGCACTTAAAGGCTGCAGCAAACAACTTTGTTTTCACTGATTTCTTTCAGCTGCTCTCCTGCTTTTAATGCAAATTTGGTATGAGAAGATACTTACCTGCTTGGAAAAATAGACCAGCAATATGAGGATATACCTTCCTGAAAATCAGAAATTGTGCATATCTTGGTTTTATGTCCTGAGACTGGGGTCAGGTTAAGAGTACTTAAACTCTTTTAAGAAGCCAATGTGTATGCAGACCCACATGGATGTCTCTTACGGTGCTCTTGTTAGGGTGCTCTTCTTTCTGACCTCTTCTACTTCTTCACAATCGTGTCTGTTTCTGTCTGGCTCTTTGCACTTCCCATGTGTTCTTACCTTTTGTTAGAAGAGAGAAAATAAACAAAATAATTTTTCCCCCAGGAACTCACAAGCACAATTTTGCTGCATCAGCTTTGTAATAGGTTGGCTTTGGGAAACAACTGACAGGATATTTCTCCTGCTCTGTTTCAGTGAAAATCAGCTGTGTCTCTTAACTGAAATATTTCAAGCTTATTTTTGTCATGTAATAGAGTTGTGTTTCTTTTTATAACTAAATGCCTTGTGATGTCTACTTCAAAGGCTGACATTTCTAATGTACTAACACCCTGAGCAGTAAAAAGCTATTCAATTCCAAGTGTAAACTCATCTACTGATGTTAAAAAGATCTAAGAAAAGGTCATCAAGGACATTGGCAGGATGTTGTGGATGCTCCACACTAATGCTGTCCAAGAATCTGTTTCAGCAGAGGACAGAGGGGATTTGGCATCGAAGTTCATTTAGCAAAGTCTCTTTGCCTCTTATGGATAGTGGGAGCTTAGAGGCTGAAAGAAATCACAAAGGGGAAGCTGAAAGAGCAGTGAATTACAATAAAAGACTCTGGTCAGGTCTTCAGCAATTTCTGCATATTTCCTGCACTGGTTTTCCTCCTGGGGTGCTGTTCAGGCACTGACTGTATTGTCTGGGGCTGGCTGTCCAAAGGGCAGGGTCTGAGCCACGGGGAACAGTGCTGGGCTCTTGCTGTGAGTGCTTGGCATGCCAGTGTCCCCGTGGCTGTAGGCACAGGGATGCCTGTTCCCCAATGCTCCTCCCTCAGAGAAATGCTCCTCTTCACCTCATCATCTGAGCCCAAAGGGACTGTCCCAGCACAGCACCGTCTGTATGCCACACCAGATGACCCCAGCACCACCCTTGGGGTCTGTGGCATGGCTGGGAGAGGCCACCCCAACACAGGCCACTGGCAGGTGAATCTAGGAAGGGCCATTGACTTCAACCCTCAGGTCTCTGGCACAGGCAGGCAGTGACCAGCAGATCGCTGCCATACTGTGTTTTGTAGAAACTGAATGTTGCTTCCTTTCCTTTTTCCACTCTATTTTATAAGCATTTATGTATTTTATAAACATTTTCCAAACTGAGTTGTCTCTGCCCCTGTTATAAGTAAACTCCGTCATTTGCATTTTACCTAAGCCTGTCCTGAGGCCAATGTTATTTTGAAGTGTTTGGCTCTCATCAAGAATTTCTTTGGAAAGACTGTAGATATGTTTGGGATTTTTTTCTTTTTATTAATTCAAATTTTGATTTGTGTTTTCCAAATAGGAAGAAAACCCCTTCCAGTTCTGGATGCCTGGTAACAAATATCTGCGTGGAAAGGTAATGGGGGAATCTTTTAAAAGGCGAAAGTGTGAGAGTGGCAGTGATATCCCACCAGAGAAGCTCAGCCCTGGTGCCCCATGGGCAGCGTCGGGGGGGCTGCGGCCGTGTCGGTGCACACAGCCTTCCACACAAGGCACTGCTCCGAATGGAACTAATTTCAGGTTACTTGCACACTTGCAGCTTCACTGCTTACGTAGATGTGCTGTGACTACTGAATCCTGATGCTTTTCCATGTTTGATGTCCCTGGAACAGCTGCCCTGCGGTTTGGTAACTGGTGTGGAGTGCCAGCTGTTTCCATGGCAGCTCCGTCACACCAGCCCAAGCTCATCCATTTTCATAAACTTTGATAGTGTCTCCTAGGAATGATTAACTACATGTGAAAATCCTGCTGGTGTTTTTGTATAGATTCCTTCAAAGAAAACACAGAGACAACAAGCAATTGTCTGTTGTTCAGTTGTCAAAGTTCCACAAACTGAAGGGAACCCAGCATTAACTTGCTGATTTGTAAACTGCCAGTGGACGATTTGAATCTCTGTTACAGAAATGGAGGGAAGAAAAGCACTTTTCTGGGGATGCTGAATGGAAGTTAGTGCTCTCAGAGATGTTTGAAACCTGTATGCCCAGGAGGAGTGGTAGAGGACAGAGCACAGACTCTGACAGGCATATTTCCAGTTTCCAAAAGCAAGTTATGTCCTCAGAGAGCTGATTCAGAGATGCATCCCAAGGTTTTTGTTGGACTAGAAATTGCTTGAACCATGAGCTGAAAAATCCAAAGATCTTTCATCTAAGATCTTTGTTTGCCACCATTAGCGTGACAAACAGCCCCCAAAATGATTATTGCTTTGAATTTCTATTGTTTGTTGGTTGTTTTTGTTGAGATTTTTTTAATGTTTTAATGTTTTCTGTTAAGGTCAGTGCTCAGATAGAGCAGGTGGAGGGAGGTGAACCTTCCCCTCTACACAGCATTGGTGAGGCCACACATGGAGAACTGTGTCCGGAGCTGGGCTTCCCTGCACAGGAGAGACATGGACAGACTGGGGAGAGCCCAGTGAAGGGCCACAGACAGGAAGGGTCTGGAGCTCCCCTGGTGTGAGGAAAGGCTGGGAGAGCTGGCACTGTCCAGCCTGGAGGAGAGGAGACTCCAGAGTGACCTGATTGCGGCCTTTCAATACTTAAAAAGGGAACCCATAAGAAAGCTGGGCACAGACTTTTTAACAGGGCCTATTGCAATTAGACATAAGGTAATGGCTTCCCACTGCCAGAGGGTAGGGTTAGATGGGATATTGGGAAGGAATTCTTCCCCACGGCACTGGTCCAGGTTGCTCAGAGAAGCTGTGGCTGCCTCTGGATCCCTGGAAGTGTCCAAGGCCAGGTTGGAGCAACCTGGGCTGGTGGAAGGTGTCCCTGCCCATGACAGGGAGTGGGACAGGATGGACTTTCAGGTGCCTTCCAATCCAAACCAGTTAGGGATTCTGTGATCCCCCACACCATCCCAGTGTGACAAACCCTTCGTGGTTCAGACTTCTGGAACAGTCACACCCCTTGGATCTAGCGGAGCGGCTCTGTCAGAGCTGCACTGTCCCATTGCCCTGTCTGGGGCTCCCCAGGTCAGCACAACAAATAACAAAGGGTGGAGTTTTACAGGTTGAGGACAATACATCTTGTTCCTAAGAGAGGGTGTGAATTGTGGAGAACCTAAGTGCAACACAGTGCTTTAGGACAAACCTGTATAAAACATGAATTACATCTGTTTACAAACAATAAAAAATAATTTCTCAAATGTACTTTGAGTATTTGGTTTTAGTGCTATCATATTATTTTCTAATTTCCAGCAATCTCTCTACAAGGGACAGAAAATACTTTATTTAGAGCTTTTGCAGCTCTGTCTTATCTTTTCCCTTCTGAAGAATTTGATCATGAATTATACATTCAAGCACAACATGAAATATTTAACTCATGCTCTTCAGTTGGAAGTTCAACTTCCCAAACAAAGATATGAGTTTGAGCACAGAGAAAAGACCAGGTACTTAGACACAAATCCACTGGTGCTTATAGGAGCCTTCCTCTGCCCAGGGTCCAGATCAATAGGGCTGAAGCCTCAGAGGCTTCCAGTGGTCGGTGCTGCTCTTTGTGCCACTCCCTTAATTACAGGAGAGATTTGGCTTCAGTGGATAGATTGTGCACAGATGAATTCAGGCTCGACGCTCTGAATGAATGCCTGCAGATTTCTGAAGGTTAGGAGGAAAATACATACAGAAGACAAAGTGAAATAGATATCACTCACATAGTGCAGCTCTTCCCTTGTATTGGGATTTCTCCAAGGCAGCAGGAAGGTCACAGCACTGGGACAGGATGGCAAATGTTAAAAGAAGATGTGACCCTCATACCAGGACTTCTGGCTGACACTGTGCTGAGGCTGTGCTGGCTTCTCCTTGAGCTGTGCTGGAAGAGATCTGGTACAAATCAGACATGAATCAGATCAGGAGTTATAAGCAAGTGCATTCAATTTCACTTTAATGACTGTTCATATCATTGGATAAAAAGTAGGAGAAATTTTGACTTTGTTACCAGAGGTATGAAGGCAGTGGAAGCATCACATGTTGACAGTCATCTCCAGCAAAAAAACTCACTCAGAAAAATAAATCTCAATAGAAAATTCAGATGAAAGACATTTTGGGCATGCTCACATGTCGTCTGGGTGGGCTGACTTCAGATGAACCTTCGCTGGGTGAACCTTGAGAAGAGTTCATGAGATTCTTATGGCCCCCAAGGTCTCACAGCTCTCCTTCCATGGCTCAGCTGTGGTGATGCTGTGAGGAGAGAGGCTCCTGGAAGATGGGGAGGACTCTGTGATGAGCCAGAGCCCTGGGTTCTTTGGCCAGGAAAATGACATCGTTTCAATTTTTATTTACCCTTCCTCATAAATGTAAAAAAGGGAAAAAAAAAGAAAAAGCAACACCTGAAAATTGTAAAATTGCAGTCTGGGTTAGTTTAGTTTCAGCTTCTTTCCCTATAACCTAAAACTTACTTTTCTTACACAGGGTATGTGAGGAATGTTCCCAAAGGCAGGGGCTTCTGAGGGGTGGTCCCAGAGGCAGAGGGTGCCAAAGGATGCTCCCAGGGGCAGAGGGAGCTCTGTCATGCAGAGTTGGGGCAGGTTTTACCACTGACTGGTTTGCTTTGAGAAGTTTTGTATTAAGATGCAAAATAAAAAATCCCAAACTGAGCCAAAGCTCCATGGGTGCCTCCTGCCCCAGTATGTGTGCCAGCTGTGCCAGCTGGGCTCAGTGAGGACAAGAGACTCTGCTGGCTGAATAGAATGTGAGGTGGGGGTGGCCAAAGGGGTGACACCTTCCTGGGTGTGGTGGACAACTGGTAAATGCCTGAGTAGCACTGATGGCAAGGGATGCTGGGACCCCTGGGTGGAAGGATCCTCTTCCAGAGCTCAGAAGGGCTGTCTCTGTCCCACAGTGCCACCCTGTAGCTCAAAATACCCCTACTAAAACCAAACCACAGAACGACTTCACACAATTGCATCTAAACTGCATAGAAATGCATATGAAAACCTTAATCTGATCACTAAAATCCCTGAATCAAAATAATTTACAAGGCTTATAAAAAGAGTAAACTCTGTAAAGCAGGAAGCTCCTCTGTCAAGGCTGCTCTGCACGTGTGGAAGAGGGCAGTTTATTCCCAGATCCCCCTCACCTATGGATTAATAGGTCCTTGCAAAGCAAGTTAATGTGAGGCTTTCTGGGGAGCTTGATTTATTCTGTATCTGAGGAACAAGGGTGGATGCAGAAACAGACCGCTTAGGCATGGCTATAAATGAAAAGATTAAACCAGTGCAGAGGAAGCTCAGAAAGGCATCCAGTCATGATCAAAGGGCTTATTAGATAATTTACACTCATTCAGCACAAATGAATTCAGCCTTTTACAGTCCTGAATAATTAACACATCACTGTTTCTGACATTAATGCATTAATTTTCTACCTTCAATAATACATAGAAGCTACCAACATAAAGGCAGAGAATACAATCAGACGCAGAAGATGGGAAGATCTTCCCTAATTTTGTTGCTTTTTGTGTAAATCTAAAACTGAGGGTTTGAAGTGATGGAAGGATCATTTGTGGGCTTTTTTTTTTTCTCCATGATGTAGAAATATCAATGGATCAAAGGCCAATGTGGAAAATATTTAAGTTGAATAAAGGTATATTAAACCTTTAATTCAACCTAATTTTTAAATGCTAATGATCAGTGTCATATTTTGGAAAGGAACAATTTCTATTCTGAAGTTCGGTTCTTTTATTAATGAAATATTATGAATTTTCTTTACTATTAGCTCTGAAAGAAATGTTAGTGTTTTGAAAACAGCATACACGGCATAAGTCCTTGGGAAAAGCTTTGTTCTTCACTAGTGTTAATTGTTAAATACTAATTGAAGTCCCCTGTGGCATCTGGGAGGGGGTGTTGTACCAGGGCTATCCATCACACAGCTCTGCATAAGGAATGCCATTCCCTCTGTGCTCAGGAGAGGTTTGAACAAGCTATTTTGATTTAAATTTGTCCCAGAGTGCTGTTCTGGTCCTGGCATCATCCCAGCACCCTGCCCACCCCAGGCATCCTACCTGCTCCGGTTCTGAGGGTTGTTGGGTCCCGCAGGAGGGTGGGCAGCAGCAGGACCCTGGGAAGAGGAGGGTGGGCAGAAGCAGATGCCTTGGAGAAACCAGTGTGTTTCTGGCATCAGCAAGAGCAGAAAAGCACTGGAGAAGCTGGATGAGCGATGGGTACTGTAAGGCCAGGACTCTACCACTTCCCCTCACCTCTCCCATTTGTGGCTGTGTTCCCGGCGCTGCACCACACGCTGTGGATCTGTATCCCCGTGTACCAGCTGTGCCAGCCCGTCTGAGTCCTGCGGAGCAGCTGCAGGAGGGATGGCTGTGGCAAGGGCCAGTGATGGCTCTTGAAGGTCCTCCAGACAAGGTCTGTCCGTGCCTCATTAGCTCTGCCTGGCAGCTCACGGCATTCCCTGACTCGGTGCTCCAGAAACCAGGAGAAGCATCAACTGCATCTGCCCATGCCAGCCTCCCTCCATCTGCTTCTTGCACAGGGCACCCAGGAAACTTCACAACACCAGTAACTTGTATAGTGAGACAGTTTCCTGCACATCCCTGAACTGCTCCAGGGTAATGCCAGTTTGGTGAAACTGCTCTCCAAGAA